CAAAAATGTTTATCTTCAGGCCTTTGGATCTGATGTGCAATTACAGGCTATAAAGGGCCGGATGAGCAAGTGAAGCCACATCAAGAGAAACATGAGAAAAAGCTATTTCACAGGCCAACTGACTCCGGGGTTTTGACATGACAAAGGCAGAGACCGGAAGGGGTAGGGAACAAGTCCCGATAAAGAGACTTAAGAAGGAAATCGGTGTCTTAACCCTGTTTAAATTCTGCAGGAAGCACACGAACTGCAAAGGCATTCTGACAGCCCGGGGGCTCAGAGCCAGGTTAGGAGATGCAGGAATCACCACAGCACAGGTGCTCATTACATGGCTCTGTCAGCACATTAAGAAATATTTTATAAAACGTCACAAAATAACTAGCACCCACAGAAAACTGGCAGAAGTGCCCCCTGACCCTTCTCAGATCACAGAACATAAACCCGGCTCAGTAAAGCTATGTTCAAAGAAGGAAGGGAAATAAGAACACCCTTAGAACTAGAAGAGAACAAAAATAAAGCATATCAACATTTCTGATTCAGCCAAAGCAGAATTTAAAAGGAAAATTTTTAGTCTTATATTTGGCTTTATCAGAGAAAAATGTTTCAAATAAGCAAAACATTCACTTGATGGGGGAGGGGGGACTTCAAAATAAACATTAGTAAAATAGAAGGCAAAATATAGTGTAAAGAGAATTTAACTACACTTTTAAAACAGAGCATGTAACAGAAAAGACAATGACCAGTTTGAAAAGGCAAATCACTGACAGATCAATGAACAAAAAAGGAAAAACATAAATTTTAATTTCTTAATTGTGGATGGTTTAGAAATTAAAGTAATAAAAATAATTATGAACTTTATATTAATAAACTTGAAATCCTGTTAGAAATGGATAAATTCTTAATATATAGGAATAGATAAAAGCCAAAAAACTGAAGAATGAGAAACTGATGACTTGAATATCCCTACATTCACAAAAGAAACAGGATCAAAAGCCAAGAATCAGAAATGGGACAAGAGCTGGGCCTCCCCGGTGGCGCAGCGGTTGAGCGCTGGGTTGCGAGGCTGCCCGCGGCCTCTGCGGCGCCGGTTCGATCCCCGGCTGCTTCCCGGCCACCGGAGGAGGGTCCCGCATGGCGCGCAGACCTCTCCTGCCGCCCGCTGCTCCCCTCAGCAGTGTACTTCGGTCCTTCTGCCTGCTCTGCTCCCTGCTCTGGCTCTGGTGAATTCTCTCACCCTCCCGCGCTTCTGACTGTACCCAGTGCATGTATAAACAAAGAAAGAAAGAAAGAAAGAAAACATGCCTCTATAAAAAAAAAAAAAAAAAAAAAAAAAGAAATGGGACAAGAGCTAAAAATCAAGGATTACACAATTCTTCATGGTTTTAAAGACACTTCTCTCTTTCTCACACACACACACACACACACAACATAATTAATGTCCAAAGACAAGTGGCAAGAAGGGAGGGGTAGTAACTCGCATGACAAAAGCTGAGACTTCATGAATCAATTTTTAGATAGACCAACAACAAATGAAGAGAAAAAATCAAGATAAAGAGATATGGATTAAAAGCCCAGGGCAAAAAAAGAAAATGCAAACACATATTTGACATTCAATACCCATATCAAGAGGAATGCAGCTTAAAACTATATTATGAGACTGGCAAAAAATCCAGACATTCCCTAAAGCCATGCTATTGTCACATATGTAGGGAAACGTGTACTGTGACACAAAAATATGGGAGTTTAATTGGTACAGGTCCTGGGAGGAACAAGCTTGCAATATTTACCCAAACACATGCACCTGGTGACACAGCGCTGTCTATCCAGGGGTTTATCCTGCAGACACAGCACACGTTCATGAAATGACACACACAAGTTTATCAGGGCAGTGTTGCTTGAACTGCTGATGACTAAAAATAATCTAAATGTCCATCAGAAAAGATTTGGTGAAATATGTTATGGTATGTCCATACAATGGAACGAAATGATAAAAATGAAGTACTGCTTTATGGAAAGATACCCTTAACGGGTGGGGAATGGGTGGACAAAGAACAGAAAAGTGTGCACAGCATATATAGAATGTCACCATCTGTGCAAAGTAGGATGAAGAGTAAATTACACAATCTGCCTCTCCGTGTAAACTCCCGGACAACATGCAATAAATTAATCAAGCAGCTATCTGGCAAAGGGAGGGCAGGCCTGGTAAACCAGGCAGGTCCCTGTATCCACTTCTTTGAACTAGAAAGTTTTCGAAACATATGACTGTATTGATTATTCACAACATTACACATTATAAACACTTTGTCTTTTGTTAAAGACAAAGTGAAGCATCTTAATGAAACACTAAAATTGCCTTTAGTATCAATCACATTAAGAAGAGACATAGTATTACTTGCTGATTGATTTCCTGCAATGAAATCAATGGACAATGATGCTGTGTTTGGAGACAAAAGAAAAGTCTGCAGGAAGCAATGTTTTGACTGTTAGGTTCTAGCCGATTAAATCAAATTACGCTGTGTTTCTTTGGCTTTTAAATGTATGTGAATTCAGGATTACAAATTCCTGTTAAATTCAGCTTGATTGTGAAAATACTGTCACTTTTACCTGGTTTTGGAATAGACTTGGTGGATTATTTTGCTTCTGGAGGTGGTAACTCTACCTAAAATGCTAGATCTCACTTCCTAAACAAACTTTCTAAACACATCTGAACATCTAACTCCTTAAAAACCAAAATCATCCTCCCCGGCCAGATCCAGCGATGAGGTCCCCTAATAATCTCTCTTCAGCATCTCTGTCTGTCCCACAGCGAGTTTAATGAAACAGAAAATACAAGGATGAAAACAAAAAACTAACAACCTACTCTGAGGAATGTTTGGTTTTCCTCGTAGTATACAAAAATGATAATAACCATGTCAGTATTTCCTGACATATAATTTATTGTATTCAAATAAATAAAATCGTTTCAATCAAGACATACAATACACTTAATGCATATTAAACCAGTATTCATTAAAATGGGATTTTACATGGAGGTTGTTTTAAATATTAAAATGTGAAGGATATGAAGTGACTAACTGCCAGGAGGAGAAGCCACCAGAGCACAGGGCTGCGTGAAGGAAGCAAACCTCGCTTTGGTCCTGAAGGAAATGACAGGCACTGCGAACTTGAGTCAAGCTGGTTCTACAATCAGAGCTTCCTTTCAGCACACAGAGGTAAAATGAGCAATGTGATCTCTCTATTGAGTACTTGTAAAACTCTGATGACATGATAAAACATTCCACATCTACAGAGAAGTTCGATAAGGCTCTGAAAGTCCTTGACAAGCCTGTAACTTTCCAGGTCAAGAGCTCAGACATTGGTCTCCACTTCTAAAAGGAGCTCAGCACAGGGGACAGCCACGCCCAGCTCTCCGAAGCTGGGACTCCAAGGGAGGGGAGCTTCATGAAAGGGGTGTCAGCAAATGCATCCTGGGGGGTGAGGCTTAAGCAAGTCAGGGAATCCTCTGCTGTGGGAGGGTGGCGGTGGGAGACTAGAAGGCGTGCACTGAATCTACAAGACAGCAAGAGGGCGGAAGCAGGTGGAACAGAGAGTTTTGTTCACTCTCTCACTTCCTAAGTTTCATTTTAAGAAATACACCATTAGATGAGCAGTATGTGGCACGGGCTGATACACTGGGATGGCTGACTGACTTGACCCCTCTCTCGTACACACACTATCATCCAATAGGTTTTACTACCAAATGTTTGCAAAGGAACTTGAGGTTTGGGTGGGAACAGTTAAGGATTAACAAAAAAAGACCTTGGATGTAAAGATTTCTGTATTTTCCCACATTGTAACAGAAGACTAACCCAAGTAACTCTGTAATAATGTGCATTCCTAACTCCATAAACCCCTTTTCAGAATACCAGAATTTTGAAAACATATATGCAAAAAAACAAAACAATATAAAAACCAAAATTCTTAAGGCTCTTCACTCTCCAGTGCTTGTTTCAACAATCATGAGCTTTCTTCAGAACACTTAAGTAGAAGGCGCACAGAGAAAGACTCCAACACGACCAAGAAAATACTGAAGAAGTCAGCTGAACTGATTAAATTTAAGTTTCATATATTGATATATTTTACTTAGCAAAAACTATCTTCAGGACTTGTAATTAGCACCTAAAAACTGCATCATCAATGTCATGTGTCTCCCCCTCTCCTCACCACCCCAGAGCACAAGAGAAAGAGAAGAAAACACAAAATAGAAAGTTGCATGTTGTGAGAATGGCTGCCGAGTCTATCCTGCAGTCAGAGTCCCTAGCTCACTACACCTTTTATCATTCAGTGACAGTCTCTAAAACAAGATGAAAGGGACCATTTCATCAAATGCATATGTACTGTTTTTCTACAAATCATGGAAGCTGAAATATATATAGCCCAATAACCTGAAAGAGTATTTAATGAAGCTAATTTGAACTAGAAACTGCTTAATATACTGAAAGTACAGGATTCCCTTTAGTATTTTAATACATTGTAATTGAAGTGATTATCTGTTTATAAGCTACTTTAAAAAGAATAACACTGCCAAAGGCAACAAATGTTTTGATACAGTTAGCACTTACCATTATAACAAAAACAAACCCAAAAAAAGCTCAAGATAAAAATACCATGTATGTGCCAACTAGCAAGATTAAATGATCGATAAAATCATCTTCCTGAATAAGCCTCAACAGAATGACAGAGCACTTTCTTGGAAGACTCAGAACACAAATGACAACACTAAATGACTGACACTTTCTGCTGTCACGAACCAGTCAAGTAAGAAGCCACTCCTTCCCACCCTTCAATCTTAAACATCCATCCATAAACACAGTTTTGATTAGATTATAATTTTGCATTTGCTCATAACTACATTTTTTTGAGAACAGAGTTTTTACAGTTGGACAGGAAAATGTCTCAGAGCCAGGCCTGGCCATGACCGAGGCCCTGGAGGACGGAACAGGCCGGGACAGCGCTGGGCTCACCTGCTGCGGTTGGTACCTCTGCTGGGGCTGGGAGGGCAGATACTGCGCCTGCGGAGGGAGGTGCGGAGGCTGCGGCTGCTGGTTGTAATAGGGCTGCTGGCCCTGCTGGCAGTACCCACTCACACCTTGCTGTCCATACTGAGGTGGCATCTGTTAAGAAGTCAAGCAAAGCAATCGAGAAAGTCAAAATGTGCAATTCAATGAAAGCAAATATGGTTGCAATTCAGCAACATGAAGTGGGTTCTTTGCTATGCAAATTCAATGTTTTTAATATTCTCTCCATTAGATGAACTGACATTCTGCCCTCTGTTCACATATCCATGAAGTCAAAAGATAATTTGACTTCAATTGTAAAAATGTTTCATCAGATATCAAATATTGATAACTTCATAAAAATCTAGTGGAGGGGAGAAGCTCCTAATACTGACAGTAAAATATATCCTCTGCTGAGAAAGTCAAAGAAGCATTATGTAACCATTCTCATGCAACACTCAAAATGAAAATGAACACCAGCAGTATGTGTGCACTTGCTAGTATCTGTAAGTGCCTGTGGTCTGGGCTCATGGATGGGGGAGAGCGGCAGGGTGGCGGAATGTTCATTTCAACTAAGGTCAGAACAATACCATGCCAGTTACCATAGCAATTCCATTTATTATCACTAACAAGGAATGACATTGCTTTACAATCAAATGAAACCCTTTTAGAAAGCAATACTACCTGTAACAATAAAACTATCAATATGAGTTCTTCAAAGAAAGATATTCATATCAAACACAAAGACAGTACTTTCCGACTTGATAAAATGGGTAATGATGTAAAGCGCAGTGCGTTGTACTGCAAATACTGAGATGTACACAGAAAGAGTCTAAATCAGTCTTCTCCATCTCTAATTACATGAGCCTAAAAATCCTTGAATCCCATTCAAAGGAAGAAGTCCTTTCCACATGCCACAAAAATACACTGATGAAATTTTTAGCCATCTTATTTTTTCAATGAGAAATCTATTGACTTTTTCTTTAATTGGGAAAAAAAGCAGAAAAACAAGATACAGGATGGAAAAAAAAAAAAAGCGCCCCACAAGACTGGTGCAGTCACTCTGAATACCACAATATGGTCCGCGTGGGAACGCTAAGAACTCGGGTAAGCCCACACACTTAAGGATCCAGCGATCAGTTCCACAGACAGACTTAAAAACCAAATGCACTGCACAATACCGAGGGTGGGACAAGAGGAATGGGAAAGGAGTTAATATTAAACACTGTGTCCCTAAGACCGATTAGCCCAGTAACTCATAACACAGACAACGAAGCAAAAGGGAAAAATGCAAAATGCTGAAGTCCATATTCCTTTTGATCCAATCTAAATTATTGCCCATTAGAAAATGTAAAAATAAAATTTATTAATTAAAAAAATAAAATAAAATAAAAAAAGAATGTCAGTTCATAATAAAAAAAAAGAAAAAAGAAAAAAAAAAGAAAATAATGGCCCATAGGACCTGGCAGCAATGACCACCCAACACTTGGTTTACCACACGCCTCTCCCCACACAGCCCTCCCGTCAGCAAGCAGGAAGGTTTCTGTTGCAGACCATGGAACAGCACGTGCAGTGCTTTGCTTGTGTTTACTTTACAGTTTGATATCTCATAATGAATGTATGTCCCCGCCATAAGCCAAGCCAAAGAATTTCCATAAAATACAAGTGCACATGCTAGAATACCATACACCACAACACACGCCCTCCCATTCAACACCCATATGTCTGATTTGATATCTAATACTGTATTTCACACAAGCATCTTTGCAGTTTAGCTGAAGCAGCTAGGATAACACTTTTGCCAGTGTTAAAGTGACTGTAAAACTTAGTCAACACAGCCAGCAGCTCCCCCACCAACTGCACCCTGCAGGCTGCCACTGCAGCTCCACAGGTGGGGGGCTGCCCCAGGAAGGGGCTCTGTTTTCTGGGCAAGACAACCACCCAGTAGATGGCAGGCCTCTACTCACACCAGAGCAGCCACGAATGGACTGGCCTCTTTCCTGTTTATTCCAGTTTGCAAAGTTTGGGTGCAGGTCAGGGCACAGGGGAAGAAGACTGGGAGGCAGGTAGGGCAGTGCATGTGGGAGCAGATCTTCCCCGCAGCCAGAGCAACGGTCTGCAGAGCAAGGCCAGCTTCGCGGGGGAAACCATCAGAAATGCCGACTTGGGAGTTTTCATTCCTGTCTTCCACAATTAGAAAGTTGCTGCTACCCTTTTAGACGCAAGATCTAAATCACGTGTTCTGCAAGGACCACCAGACACGGCCCCATGCGAGGCTGGGGTTGTCCTTCCCTTGGGGTCCAGGGCCCAGGGCCAGTCACAGGCAGCAGTCCCCTATCCTGCCAGGCAGCCGGAATAGCACAGTGATGACTGAACATCCATGGCACCCCCATCTGTAAAATGGGGCTACCTTCTCTACTGATTCATATTAACTCCACAGCCAGAAATACAATGATGCTACCTGGAATTCTGCACAGATTCTATTATTATTTATGGAACTACAAGTTGTACTGCTGCCTCTGAAATATTAATTCCTCATTGTTTATAAACTTACCTTTAAAATATTTAAATTTTGTAAATATAGTATCTCAGTTGCCTGGAACTAAAGTCTGATTCTTGAATGACCAAGTGCTATTTTTGTTTTAATCAGGTAGATGCAGGGCTTTCAAAGATTTACTATATGCTTTTCTGACAACTTAAACCAAGTAATTGTTAGCATGGATATAATCAGCAGCCAGAACCCCTAGGCCCTGGGTGCCCAGGGCGGCCTACCCGACCAGTGTGCATGCCCACCGCCACCTTCTCACACAGGCCACGGGCCACTGCATGTCACCCTGACCTCGACCCCCAAAGCATCTGCAGAGGACCGGGACCCGTGCCTGGTTAAAATTATGAAGGCCCCAGGGAGTCGTCCATGAGAGAAGCACATGAGCTTTTACTGCCTCAAGTTTTGTGCTATCAGTTTTGGCTACTGTGCATCTTTCTGTTTCTCTCTCAGTTCTCAACCACATTTAGGGTAAATGAGATTTCCAGAATGTTGGATGCAAGTGAAATTTAGCCAAGAAGGGGCCTCCCTGGTGGCACACGGGGTTCAGACACAACCTATGAAGCTATCAGTAGCCACTGCAGCACAAGTTCAATCCCCAGCCAGGGAGGAGACCCACATGGCGCAGCAGACCTCTCCTGCCTTGCCCGCTGCTCCCCCCAGCAGTGTGTTTCAGTCTGCCTGTTCCATCCCACTCTGTTGCTGGTGAATCCTTTCACCTGCCACACCTCTGGCCTGTACCCCAGTTCTTGTATGTATAAATAAATCAATCTTTAGAAAGAAAGAAAGAGAGAAAGAGGGAGGGAAGGAGAGGGAGGGAAGAGAGGGAAGGGAGGGAGGGAGGGAAGGGAGGGAGGGAGGGAGGGAGGGAGGGAGGGAGGGAGGGAGGGAGGGAGGGAGGGAGGGGAGGGAGGGAGGGAGGGAGGGAGGAGGGAAGGAAGGAAGGAAGGAAGGAAGGAAGGAAGGAAGGAAGGAAGGAAGGAAGGAGGAAGGAAGGAAGGAAGGAAGGAAGGAAGGAAGGAAGGAAAAGAAGGAAGGAAGGAAGGAAGGAAGGAAGGAAGGAAGGAAGGAAGGAAGGAAGGAAGGAAGGAAGGAAGGAAGGAAGGAAGGAAGGAAGGAAGGAAGGAAGGAAGGAAGGAAGGAAGGAAGGAAGGAAGGAAGGAAGGAAGGAAGGAAGGAAGGAAGGAAGGAAGGAAGGAAGGAAGGAAGAAAGTTTAGCCAAGCGTTACTGAGAACCAGAAACCAGTGCTGAGAATGGAAGATACAAAACACTCCCAGTTCTGACGCCACCCTGCCTTCCCTGAGCAGCCTAATTGGGCAGCCCCAGCACCCCCTCCCACTGCCCACTCCATTTTACCATGGGGAGCTCATCTGAGGCTGTGGCTTCCTTCTTCCCTTGACTCTGCTCATGGGCTGACTGTCCCCAGCACTAGCCTACAGCGCCTGCCAGTCAGCACGAACTCGCTGAAGGAACGGATGCTGTGCAGTGGACTACTGCATCGGGTTATTATGATACAAACTTCTACACATCATAAAACAGCAATCACGTCCAGCACCCGAGTCACTGACCCCTGTGGTCAGCGTCTCCCATGGCTGGCACCACACCAAGTGCACGGAGCCTTCGCCACCTACACGCCCACCCACCAGACTGTGACCCAGCCGGTGCCCCAGACCCGTAGACGTTTTGAATAAAATCTCCACAAAATGCCTAAGATCAGAGTTTTTTGTTTGCTATTTAAAAACGAGAAACACAAAATCTATTCTATCATTTCTAAATAAAGAGGGTCTTAATGTGCTGTGTAAGCACACACAGCAAAAGAACGATTCCCACTTTTAAAGAAACAAGAATGCTTTCAAACAGTGTGGGGAGGAGAAAACGCAGCTGAGCACGACGCACGTCCATGAAGCTCTCATTTCGGGAAACACTGGGATGAAGGACATGAGCGTCAGCTCTGTGCCTGCGTCCCCTTCAACGTGCAGAGCTCTGGAGCCTTCTCCTTCACTTTACCCTGAACACTTCGCCCACACTTCAAAATTGAAGAAGTGATCAGGGTTTTATCTTCTCCCTCTTTTTCTTTCCAAGCAAGTTTAAGGAAGCGGCTGCCCACGGAGGTTGAAGACACGCTGCCTGTGGATGTACGCCCGGGGAACACTCCCTGTGTCCCAAGGGGCATGGTGGACACAACACTGTTCACAGCAGGGAAAGAACACGTGCTCCAATTCTAGCACAGCAGGTAAATGGCAAAAAATAGATTTTGCTACGGTCACACAATGGAATGGGAGGAAAAATAAGACCCACACATCAAAATAGCTCAAATCTAAACAATATAATGCTCAGTTTAAAGAGAAAGCAACAAAGGTCAATGCAGTGTGAAACACCTACATAAAGTGGGAATGTGCAAAACAGCTGCACGCATTGTTTGTGAACATATACAGTAAATGCACAAAAACGTGCACTGAAAAAATATAGACACTCCCTGGAGGGCGGGGGGGACCATGGGATAGGGCTTCAGCATATTTTTTTCCCTTTGAAAGAATGATGTGAAACAAATGTGGCAAAATGTTAATCTAC